CACCAAATTATAAACAAAACAATCTTGTTTACAAGCATACAGAGCTTTGAAGACATCCAGAAGGGTGAGCACATAAGGAAAAGTCGAGGGCTGGCTGACGACCAAGCTGGTGCATGGCATTCACCATCAAGAACATGACTGGCGGGGGCCGGCCTGGTGGCACAGCGGTTAAGTGCACACGTTCTGCTTCTATGGGGCCCAGGGTTCGCCAGTTCGGATCCCAGGTGCGGACATGGCACTGCTTGGCAAAAGCCATGCTGTGGTAGGTGTCCCACATATAAAGTAGAGGAAGATGGGCATGGATGTTAGCACAGGGCCAATCTTCCTCAGCAAAAGAGGAGGATTGGCAGTGGATGTTAACTCACAGCTAATCTTCCTCCAAAAAAATCCATGACTGGCATCAATTAACATGTACACTAAAAGCTCTGCAATGCAAACTGTGGAGATCTGTAAACATAAAATGTGGCTGTGTTTCTACATAACTCTATAGGCAATATTTGAAAAAATCTAAATTCTTCAAATTAAACCAAAGGTTTCATTGGTTTGGTTTGGTTTGGTTTTGCTTTGCTTTTGTCTGAATAAACAGGTTGGCAGTGCTGGGAACCATAAAGCCAAATTTTTCAATTTGGTGTCCTCCCCACTTGCTGCTGCTGCTGCTGCTTCTGCTTCTGGCTCAGCTCTTGGATTCTCTAAGAAATGGTTACTAATTCACAGCTAATTACTCATCTAAAAAATAAATTAAAATATCGGTAGGGAAAGATTGGAATACTGCTAATGATATTGTATTTTAAAAAAAGCACGGAAAAAAATCTGATTTCCTTCAAATCTCACACCTTGAAAGCAATCTGTCATTACAGTCTTCCATTCCGTCACCCATAAGGAACAAAAAAGTAAACTTTGCATTTAACTTAATATACCTTAGTCTCTCAATTCCACAAAAACAAATGAACCAAAGTTTTAAGTTCAGGCACCAGTGGTTAAGGGTGAAGGTTAACTTCAACACGTTCTTCAGGGGATAAAAATCTTGCATGAAAACGATAAGCTCATCATTTAACTCTGGCTCTTCTTCAGTTTCTTCTTGATTGTACTGCACAGCTACAAAACAAAGATTAAATTTTAGGCGCTAACCAGAACTGGGCTTGTCAAAATTTCTCCCTAAAGAAAATACATTTCTCACTCCCTCTTTTATCGGCAAGGCTATCTTAAAAATCGCATTATCATAAAACAAAAATTTTCTTTATATTTTCCTCATGTGAAAAATAGATTTGCATTTAGGCTTATGGCAATACAAATCTGTTCAATTAGCATAAAAATAATGCTGTTGGAAACAAATCTTGGTAAAAAAAAAGTATAGCTATGTTTCAAAGGATTTTTACCATTACTTCTAAATTATAGTTTTCTTTAGTGAGAGTCAAATATTCTAGAGAACCATCATCTTTTAAAATAAAATTGTAATTATATACACATAAGTACACTATAAAATTGACATGCTTCATGAAAATTCATATATGAAACAAAACCCCAAATGACTAATACACACGACTAAGTCAGCTAAACTAAAGACTACTTAATATCTAAAGAAGTACGAAGAAGAATGAGATCAATTAAACAGGACCAATACTTTCTAACAGAACTGGAAAGAGTAGCGGTGTTAGTAACTCTCTAAGAAATAATATTCTCATAAACGCCCAGTATTCACAAGAACTGGAACTCCTTAGGTCCACAAATAATGTTAAGCTAACAATTATTTTTTTAATGATGTAAATTATAATAACATGCTGGAAACTGTGGGGTATGTCTACATTAATATCCATCCATTATTTAGTCATGCCAAAAAAAGCACTTTTAGAAATTTCTCTAAGTTCTCTTCTAATTGCTCCCTGATTTAACCCTAGTCCACTATCTAAAAGAGTTTATCCCAGGTGAATCACTGTCTTATCACAATTTCTGGTCATAGAGTCATCAACAAAAGAATATTCCAGACCATTTTAACGTTCCCTACAATTTAAACAATAGGGATAGGAATTCTTCTCCATCTCTAAGAAACATGGCATTACTCTGTTGAGTGATCTTGTGGGGGTTATTTTAAGCTGTATATAAGTAAAACTTTTCCAGACTGCTATATTTAATTTTGGGATCCATGATTTAAGGGAAAAAATCAGAAGTATGTGTGGAGGAATATACAATGATTATTTTAAAATTTGTAAAACAAGGACTAAATGTTTAAAAAATTATTAATGTTAAAAGAAATGATGTAAAATTGTGAGGTGTTACAGTGGATTGGTTCACTCAACAGCTTAAACCTGCATTCCTGTCCTACAGAGGTAGGAAAGTTAAACACTACCATTTCCCAACCTCCCTTGCAGCTAGGATTCCAGACATAATTGGTTCAATCAAACAGATGTACTCACTTGAGACTTTTCCTCAGAACCGAGTCACATGGGGAGAGAGGCAGGACACTAGGTGTCCATTTTTGCCCACACAAAGCAAGGCAAAGGCGGTGTGGTTCTGGAGCTGGCAACTGTTCATGGCTTCTTAATCCAGCATGTGGCTTCCTGAACTGTCAGGCAGCTTCTCGATTGTTCCAAAAGTAGCAGCTTCTTTGGCAGCTCACTCTTGTAATGGAGTTCCGAGAAGCTCAGCCTAGGTTCTGTTTCTTCAGCCCTCCCAAAGATTCTGTGAGCTACCTATATACCCCTTAATCAATCCCATTCTGTCTAATTGCTAAAGAAGATTCTATTATCTGAAACCAAGAATCGTGACCTATACAGAATTTGGTAGCTAGAAGTAAGGTGCAGCAAGGAAAAGGATCTTCAATAGGGAGTTGGCTTAGCTGAGGAGGTAGGGTTTTGGGCAGTGAGACCTCATGCCAGCTGAAGTTAAGGGATCAGAGAAAGTGGTGGTAGAACCTCAGAATGCTAGCCTGTGTTAGCTGCTTCTCGCCTCTTTCAGCAAAGTCCTACAGGAGAGATGTGACTCAGGAAGGTAAACAAGTCTGCAGAAATAGAAGAGAACATAGCTTTGCAGAGGGAATTGCTCTCTGTCTACAAAATAAATTGACAAAGGAGCTCTGAAGAACTGAAAAAGTCAACTACTACCATACTCTAAACTGAAACAATTATAAGTAAAGGTTCTGAAGAAGCTGCTAAAGCTTCCTCAAGCTTTTCAAGATACTTCCCTTAAGAATTTTCTGCCAAGTATGGGAGCCATCCTAAGGAAAAAGATCAGATTAAGATCATTCTCCCGCCATCGAAGCCTATAGTTTAAAATGGTCCCAAGTAGGTAGCGTTCATTTAAGACCCCAGGTGAGAGTGAACACAGAGGCCAGCAAGTACAAGATGAGGTTCTTTGTTAAAACCACATCTTGACAAGTTCTTTAACTGTGGTGATTCATGGTAATAATTGAAGAAAACAGACCAGAAACTTACTAACTTTTTAGAAAACTGTTTTGCCAAAACAAAACAAAAAATAAAAACCCTAAACCTGGCCTGCAACAGGCTGTAGCTATCTAAAACAATCCCTGAGGCCCCACAGCCACAATGACAGGAGTGAGGTGCTAAGGCTGTCCAGCCTCCAAGAAGGGCACACCTTCCAGCGCCCACTCAGATGCATGCTTGAAAATTAATGGACAATAAAACTTCCCAGAGGGCAACACCAAGGGCCCCCAAGCACATTAGACAAGGGAGCTCCTCCCAGAAAGGTGAATCAGGGGTTGCCTGATGGAAAAACCAAGGAATGTATTTATGGACAGAGCAGAGAGACCTTGCTATTTTTGCCAAGCAGTATTTTTTTAATTGTTATGGATCAGTGACTGCTACGTTTCTCATTTTCCCCCTTTCTAAAAGGTCGACTTGATTGCAGTTTATCTTGCACCTATCCCACCATCACACATGTGGTGCTGGTGGGGCATATACCTTGTTTTTGAGTTTGTGGATGGCCAGAGCAGAAGAAGCCACATCCTAACCTGATGAAGGGTACTATACTCAGATATCATGGTTTTTGAGCTATACACAAAAATAGATTGGATTTTGGTGGTTTCCTCTTAGGGTGAGGGAAGTGAGTGTTTTTGGTTTCAGAAGAGTGTACACAGATATTTAGGTAGCCAACAAGGCTGTATGGGTTAAAATTGAAAGTTGCCTACCAAATACCCCCGTTTCCTTCTTCCTTAGTTAAAGAATCCTAACTTTTAGCCGGGTGCATTGCCACATGGATTTCTCAGCTTCCCTAGCAGCTAGATGGCCATGTGACTCAGTTCTGGCCAATGAGATGTAAGTTCACACACTGTGTGGTTCTCTCGGAAAACTGCCTAAAGGAAGATGATTCAACTGGGGAAAGTTCCTTTTCTCGTCCTCCCCCACTGCCGCCAGAAGCAATCTTGGACAGCAAGAATGAGGTAACTTGAGGTTAAAAACTATGTGCTGAGGATAGCGGAACAGAACGATGGGAACCTGGATAACACCTTCTTCTAGATTTCTTTTATGTAAGAGGCAAAAACTCTTACTTAGTTTAAACCACTCTTATCTTTGGTATTTCTGTTATATGTAGCAGAACCTGATCTTAACTGATAGAGTATAAAGCAAAAATACGAATGACAAATGACCTGAAGTGGTAGCAAAAGCAATTCACTAGAAGAATTTCTAGCAGATAAGGTTGCTGAAGGTAGGAAACAGTTACCAAGAGGCACTGGGGAACGCTGTGGTCTTCTCAGGAGAGGAATTATTAGTATCAAAGAGCCTTTTATTGAGAGAGGGGATGATAAGCCCCCATAAAAGAGTATCTGTCTTTGTGAGTAAGTGAGTGCAATTTATTTTAAAAGTAATAGAGCTTTCTCACTTAGTTACTGATAGTTTCATTAAACTATGGCATAAGGCCACTTAAATCATTAAAGGAGAACAAAGAAGAAAGAAGGGAGATATGAAAGTGAGAGCAGATAATGAGTTTGTTTTCTTCCTGACTCTGGTAGACTTCAATCCTTAAATATCTGGGTCCAAAAAAATGTGTTCTCATTTGAAAAGTATCTTCCTTTATTCCATATATGCTTTAAAATATTTATTGAGCAGAGAAAAAGGAAGGGAGGTAAAAAGAAGAAACAGATATTGATTTAATAACTTTCTTCCAAGTTCTGGGGGACTTCGGTCTTTAAACGTCTGTTAAAAAAAATAATATGCTCTCACTCTAAAGGTATCTTCCTTTATCCTGAATCTTCTTTTATATATAGATATATTAAGTATTCATTTTTTAAAATATGCTTAGCTAATCATAGATTACAATTTTTTTAAATGTTCTCTGATAACATCAATAATTGATTAGAAAGAATTATGAATGTTGAAATCAATCGTTTCACCATAAATATGCCTATCAAATTATAAAGCTTTGAAATGTGCTGATGCATAAGAATTTTATAGGCCCTTTCATTTTTCTCTAATACAAGTTACTCTATTTCCACAAATATATAGGAAATAGTATAGAGGTGTCAGTGATTTGAAATTATATTTGTAAGAAACATGGATTTCTATTTATTCCATTTTTATTTCCTTAAACAAACAAAATTACATACGTGGCTGGAACTTCAATTCTCCGCCAGGCCCTGAGGGAGGAATTTCTTGTTGTAATTTTTTTTGTTCCATCTGCTGTACAGCCTAGGAAATGGAAAAAGAATGTCTTAAAAGAAAGTAGGGGCTGGCTCCGTGGCCGAGTGGTTAACTTTGTGCGCTCCGCTGCGACGGCCCAGGGTTCGGATCCTGGGCGCGGACATGGCGCTGCTCGTCAGGCCACGTTGAGGCGGCATCCCACATCCCACAACCGGAAGGACCTGCAACTAAGATATACAACTATGTACCAGGGTGGTTTGGGAAATAAAGCAGAAAAAAAAAAAAGATTGGCAACAGTTGTTAGCCCATGTGCCAATCTTAAAAAAAAAAAAGAAAGTATTATTTGATTTTTCTCTGATATGTGTGACCTCTTCGACAAAGCACAACAAACTAACTGAAAATTGTTTTCCAAAATGAGATACTCAAACTCTTAAATTAGTTATTAGATTAATATTGAACGACACAGTTTTAAAAAATTAAAATTTAAATACCATAGCAAATAGTACATTGAAATATTATATTACAAAAACACAGGCTTTTAGCAAGGCACCTAAAATCCTTTCCATGCCACAACCCTTTTACAAAATACCACCTGATGATATTCCAGCTTCTGAGCTTCAAGTTGGTCATGCTGACGTTGTAGCTCTTCTTTTTGTTTCTGAAGTTCATCTGCCTTTTTCTTAAGTTCATTTTCTTGTAAGGAGATAAGATTTTCATAGGCTTTAAGTTCTTCCTCTGTGAAGAACTGTTGCTGATCCAAGGTCTACAAGAAAAAAGTGAGGAAAGAATAATCTTAGAAATACAACAATAAGGTCACTTTCAGCTTTAAAATTCTATGATTAGCAAACCACAAAAGAGTATTTATACTATTACACGTTTTGGGTAAGAAGAAGAGGAAATAAGAAAATATATATTTATGTACTCATTTGAGCAAAAGGGAAAAGAGAAAGGAAAACCCAGAGACTGATGAGATTGGTTATCGATAGAACAAGGGAATAACCTGGGTGGAAAAGGACAAAGAGAACGTGGGAAAGAAAATCACACTCCTCTGAGTAGACCTTTTTTGTATAGATTTGACTTTTGGAAACATGTCAATCTTTCACATACTCAAAAAAAAAGAAAATAAATAAAATCCACAAGGACAGGAAAACTCCTCAAATTGAATACAAACAGAAGCAAATAAATAATACTTTTATTTTAAGTGAATAAAACAACCCACAGAAGGAGGGAGGAAAAAAAAGAACTAACCCAAGAAACTTTTGATCGCAGTAGTTGGACAATATGCCCTCAGGTTAAAAACAACAACAGAATCTAAACAAATATTAAAATCTTGTTTTGCAGAGGCATGGATTAGCAATGCTGAAACACTTTGTCCATCCTAGGATTGAGCAAATAAGTGGAACATTAATGTGGAAAATGGGAACCAGTTTCATATGAAATATGGAAAGAGGAAAAGATAGAAGGTTGTGTTGGAATTGGAGGTGCCTGATTGAAATTTAAGGAGATAGTGTGAACTCATGAGTTTTAATACACATTGATAGGCAAATATATAAAAATGAATATAAACGTGTAGGTGTGTCTATATATGTGTATGTGTGTATATATGTACATAGACACAGATAATATAAATAAATACATATATGTATTTTTTTAATTCCCCAACTGTGCTATCTGACAGGGCCTAGAAGCAATGATGCTCCAGTAGCCAGGAGCACAACCAGGGCCCAGATCCTGGTCTGTAAGATCAATCTCCAGTGCTCCACAGAAAAATGGCTGATTCCAGAGGTGAGACAGAGAAAGAACCAGATCAGCCTTGAACATCTTGCTATGCTAAAAAGTAAGGAAGTCCTCAAAGAATGATAGGGACGTGCTAGAAGGACACAAAGCCAGTTTGAGGAAACTCCCACTAGCCAAATCTGGGACAATTTGAGCATCAAAAGAAGTAATCATAGTAAGGATTCAAGATTATTGAATAAAACAAGAAGCCATGAGTCTACACTGATATAAATAGAGGAGGGGGAAGGGACAGCTTTTCCTTCCAGTAGAAAGGCAACTAGGAAATGCAGAAGCAAGACAATTAGAAAATCACCATTTGTCAACAGTCATAGTCACAAGTGATTCTGGTCAGATTCATCTGTGGATGCTAACACTAGTAGATAATGAGTCTCAAAGTAGATCCCCAAAGACACCTTTTTTTTAAAAACAGAGCACTCTCATTTTTTATTGGTAGAAATGTAAATTGGTACAATTCTTTTGAACAGCACTTTACAAAGTATCTCAACAGTCTTAAAAACATTCCCTTGGTTGTGGACATTGCTACATTGAGAATGTCCTATAAAATATCCCTCAACACATAAAAAGCTTTATATAAAAACGTGTTTAGAGCAGCAATGTCTTTTTTAAATAATACTAAAAGACCGGAGATAACCTAAATGTCTAACTCTGAGGAAACAGTCAAGCATTCCCATAGCTATTAAAATAATGCTTACAAATAGTATTTGGAAATACTTTAGATATGATATTGTATGAATTTTTTTTTAAAAAAAGAGAGGACTTCTGATTCTGGCAGTCCATGGGTTAGATAAGATACTTTTTAAATTACAAAAGGTAAGATGGTAATTTTATGGTGGGCAAACCCCATAGACACTACCATAACCAAACAAAGTTAACACTGCCAGTCACGGAAATAATTAGCAGCATCTACCTCCTGATACGATGCACTTAGCATCACTTTGGTGGTATTTGAACCAAAAGTAGGAATCATGAGGGAACAGCAGACAAACTCAGACTGAGGGGCCTTCTACAAAATAACTGGTCTGTACTGTTTAGAAATAGCAATGCCCTAAGAACAGGAACTGTTTCAGATGAAAGGAGACTAGAAAGACATGACAACTAAACTCAAGGCAACATCTTGGATTTTCTTTTGCTATAAAGGACAATATTGGGGAAATTGACAAAAATTGCAATAAAGTCTACAGATTAGAGAAGAGTATTGTAGGTGTTAGCACTGATAATTTCACCATGATTATGTAACATAATCCTTGTTTGCAAGAAATACACGCTCGAGTATTTAAGATTAAAGCAGCATCATGTGCAACTTACTCTCAAAAATAACTATACATGTTACATATACATACACACACACAGAGAGATCAAACATAGAGAAAGAGAGAAAAAGAGAGAGAGAGTAAATGTAGTAAAATGGGAAATCTGGGTGAAGGGTATTCAAGAATTCCTTGTCTATTCTGGCAACTCTTTTGTAAATCTGAAATTATGTCAAAATGAAGAAAGTATATAATTATCTATTGAACCAGTTCACCCAAAGCACTAAAGGAAGTGCATGTTCAAATAATCTTAGCGTGGTTCTTCTTCGTCAGAGTCCAGAAATATTTCAAATGTTAGACAAAAGCTTATAACAAAAAGAAGCTGATTTCTTTAATCTCAAACCAAGATGACCAACTGTCCCATTTGCCCAGAACTGTCCTGATTTTAGCACTGAAAAGTTCCACACCCCAGGAAACTCCTCAGTCCTGGCTAAACCAGGACAGTTGGTCACCCTATCTCAAACTATTTTCTGGACAATTAAAAATCTAATTAAAATGGTAATCTTTTCATTTTATATCTCATACAGAAAAAGACAATGCTCTTTCTTCAATCTAGTTTGGTTGGTACCTCTCAACCACTCTTTTTTTTTTTTTTGCCACTTTTTTTTTTTATTGGGTTATTGATAGGTTACAATCTTGTGAAATTTCAATTGTACATTAATGTTTGTCAGTCATGTTGTAGGTGCACCACTTCACCCTTTGTGCCCACCCCCCACCCCACCTTTCCCCTGGTATCCACTAAACTGTTCTTGGTCCATAGTTTTAACTTCCACATATGAGTGGAGTCATACACAGATTATCGTTCTCTCGCTGGCTTATTTCACTTTACATAATTCTCTCAAGGTCCATCCATGTTATTGCAAATGGAATGATTTTGTTCTGTTTTGCAGCTGAGTAGTATTCCATTGTATATATGTACCACATCTTCTTTATCCATTCGTCTGTTGATGGGCACGTAGGTTGCTTCCACGTCTTGGCTATTGTAAACAGTGCTGCAATAAACACTGGGGTGCACAGGACTTTTGGGATTGCTGACTTCAGGCTCTTTGGATAAATACCCAGTAGTGGGATGGCTGGATCGTATGGTAGTTCTAGTTTTAGTTTTTTGAGGAATCTCCATACTGTTTTCCATAGTGGCTGCACCAGTTTGCATTCCCACCAGCAGTGTATGAGGGTTCCTTTTTCTCCGCAACCTCTCCAACATTTGTTGCTATTAGTTTTAGATATTTTTGTCATTCTAACGGGTGTAAGGTGATATCTTAGTGTAGTTTTGATTTGCATTTCCATGATGATCAGCGATGATGAGCATCTTTTCATGTGCCTATTGGCCATCAGTATATCTTCTTTGGAGAAATGTCTGTTCATGTCTCCTGCCCATTTTTTGATTGGGTTCTTTGATGTTTTGTGGTTGAGTTGCGAGAGTTCTTTATATATTAAGGATATTAAGCCTTTGTCAGATATATGACTTGCAAATATTTTTTCCCAGTTAGTGGGTTGTTTTTTTGTTTCAATCCTGTTTTCATTTGCCTTGAAGAAGCTCTTTAATCTGATGAAGTCCCATCTGTTTATTCTTTCTATTGTTTCCCTTCTCTGAGAAGGCATGGTGTCCGAAAAGATCCTTTTAATACTGATGTCAAAGAGTGTACTGCCTACGTTTTCTTCCAGAAGTGTTATGGTTTCAGGTCTCACCTTTAGGTCTTTAATCCATTTTGAGTTTATTTTGGTGAATGGTGAAAAAGAATGGTCAATTTTCATTCTTTTACATGTGGCTTTCCAGTTTTCCCAGCACCATTTGTTGAAAAGACTTTCTTTTCTCCATTGTATGCCCTCAGCTCCTTTGTCAAAGATAAGCTGTCCATAGATCTGTGGTTTTATTTCTGGGCTTTCAATTCTGTTCCATTGATCTGTGCACCTGTTTTTGTACCAGTACCATGCTGTTTTGATTACTGTAGCTTTGTAGTATGTTTTGAAGTCAGGGATTGTGATGCCTCCCGTTTTGTTCTTTTTTCTCAGGATTGCTTTAGCAAGTCGGGGTCTTTTGTTGCCCTATATGAATTTTAGGATTCTTTGTTCTAATTCTGTAAAGAATGTCATTGGGATTCTGATTGGGATGGCGTTGAATCTGTAGATTGCTTTAGGTAGAATGGACATTTTAACTATGTTTATTCTTCCAATCCATGTACATGGAATGTCTTTCCATCTCCTTATGTTGTCATCCAATTCTCTCAGAAAGGCCTTGTAATTTTCATTATATAGGTCCTTCACTTCCTTAGTTAAATTTACCCCAAAGTATTTTATTCTTTTTGTTGCGATTGTGAATGGTATTGTATTCTTGAGTTCTTTTTCTGTTGGTTCATTACTGGAGTATAGAAATGCTACTGATTTATGCAAATTGATTTTATACCTTGCAACTTTGCTGTAGTTGTTGATTACTTCTAACAGTTTTCCAATGGATTCTTTGGGGTTTTCTATATATAAGATCATGTCGTCTGCAAACAGCGAGAGTTTCACTTCTTCCCTCCCTATTTGGATTCCTTTTATTCCTTTTTCTTGCCTGATTGCTCTGGCCAGGACCTCCAGTACTATGTTAAATAAGGGTGGTGATAGAGGGCATCCTTGTCTCGTTCCTGTTTTCAGGGGGATGGGGTTCAGTTTTTGC